GGGCGACTTTAACTTCCACGTCTCAGGTGAAGGTCGCTTCTCCGTCGAAACGGGGGAGGGGCGACCTAGGCTCGTCGGGCTATCCTAGATATTTGATCAAGTTTTCCTGCATTCTGTAAAGTTGAACAAGTTGACAATGCGCATTGGGGAATTGCGAATGGGCAGGCTAGTTACGGACGGTTAGATAGAATCTACAACAATGTACCTACTGCCGAGCTACTAGATCACGAACCCCACAGTACTGCGGAATGGAGAACTTCGGACCGCAGGAGGCCCCCAGATCACGCTCCCGTGTATCTTAGCCAGAATATTTGGTCTGGCATTACCCCCAACAACATTCCCTCCTGGAATACTTCCCACCCGATGTTCAAGCCTTACCTCGGTGAGCTCATCGAGAGTAACCCCATCGACCCGTTCCCGCCCGATCGCATCGAGGAGACCAAAGCACGCGTGAGGTGTGCCACTTCCCAGGTCGAGCCATATGTCTAGCAAAAAGGAGCTACTTGTGTAGAAGCAAACATATTCTGCTGCCTCAAGCTGCTGCGAGCCGATCGCAGCGGCAATGCCCGATCGGTGCGCAGAGCAGTGCATGGCCCTGAGTATCTCGCCAAGTTGTACTGTGTACGCGCTGGGCTCTGGGCCGACTGGCGCGGCTTTCATGCTCACCTCCGCTCGCTCCAACAAGGTTACCTCCATAAGATTGAACAACAGGCCATCGCCGAGCCCGAGCTCTCCTCCTCTAAGATCGCAGCCGCGCTGGCCCGTGTAAGAATAATGAAAACCGCCTGGGCCAAATCGCGCCCTGTCCTTCGCCTGGCGGCTGCGAAAAGACCCCGGGGGCAATGCCCGCCCCGACCCCGAGGAAAGCAATGCCCTCCTAGCCGAGTTCGGGGGGGGGGGGGGGGGTGCTTGATGAGCCGAAGGGGCCACCGTTCGACGCGAACAATCGCTTCCTCAACTTTGTTCCCCCGCTCGTCGACAGCGGCGACCAGTTTGTCGCCGATGACCACCAGCGCCGCGATTGTATAATCGACTTTGAAGGCTTCAAGAGGTGCTTGCACGGCAAGCGCGACGCGGCTGTGGGCCCAGACGGCATCCCGTATTCTGCCTGGAAGAAAGGTGGCAGTGTGGTTGCCGGTGCGCTTTGCGCCCTCCATCTTCGCCCCATCCATGGCGGGCTACTCCACCCTACCTTCAATCACTCCCGCTCTGTATTTCCGCCGAGGGGACCTCATAAACGGTGGTCTTGAAGATAGGGCCCCGGAGGATACCAGGCCACTCGCGCTCTCCAACAGCGACAACAAAATGCTCGCATCTCTCGTTGCCCTGCCTCTGCAAGCTGTTGCCAGTCAATCTGCGCATGAGGCGCAGCGCGGGTTCGCGAGGGGGAGGGGCTTAATTGCCGGCGTCGTGGGACAAGACGGGCATCTATTTGGATGGGGGGCTATCATGGGACACCGTCGGACAGCTGGAAGCTGTTTCGACTTTAGAGTTGCGTTCCCGAGCGTGGTGCATCGCTGGATTGTTGCTGTCCTCGAGTCCCAGAACTTTCAGAGTTTTTTGGTCGAGGCGATTAAGGGGGCTCTACAATAGGGGTTTTCATGCAGGCTGGGAGGGAGGAGGAGGACGACGACCCGATCGGTTTCTGGAGCAGGAGGGGGATGAAGCAAGGGTGCCCTTTAAGTGAAGTTCTTTTCGCTATCGTTCTCGACCCAGTTATTCGTGCGATCTTTGCCATTCCGCAGAGCCCGGAGTGCAGCGCCCATGGTTTTGCCGATGACCTTGCCGCCGCGGCCCAAAACATCTATGACTTCCTTCCGAAAGCCGTCAAGATTTTATGTCGGGCTGGTTTCTTTACTGGCATGATGTTGAGCATCACAAAGTGCGTTATTTTCTTCGCGTTCCCCACGAGAATGAGGGCGAGGCGGGGCGGAGGTTTAAGAGTGCAGGGGTCAATGTTTCCAGTTTCAGAATTGTGGACTGCGCCAAGTATCTTGGCGTATATGTCGGCCGTGGAGGCCCTGCCAAGTCGTGGATTGCGCCTGGCGCAAATCTATTTCAGAGGTACAGCGATGTAAGGATGCTAGGGGGGAGCCTCTCGCATAGCATCCTGTGCCGCAATGTGCGCGCCGCCACTGTCGCCGGCCACGTCAGCCAGTTTTTTTTGTTTATATATATATATATATATATGTATCTATATATTATTTCAGTTGCGTGGCGAGGTTCTCAGTCGAGAGCGGGAAGGACTACAGCTCCTTCACCGAGGTCCCCGCTACTCCTTCCCCCCGAAGAGCCTCCACGACCTTGCCATCCTCGGCCCCCCCCCAGGAATGCGACCTCGCAGAGTATTGTATGCAAGCCCGCTCTAACTAGAGCGGCGTATTTCAGCAGAGTACATCGACGAACACGGACGTGGCTAGACGATCTCCAGAAGCGGGGCGATGCCACCATTGCCTCCTTCACCCACCACTTCTTCAAATATGCCGTTGTCACTCATATGACAAAAACGTTGAGTGTTGTTGGTCGTCTCCATGAATGTCCTTAAGATTCCCCCCAAAAAACGGCTTCAACATGACACCGGGAAGATGATCAAAACCATCTCAAACCTGTTCTTCCCGAGCACATACTAAGTGACCGTGTACGGTATTGGCTCCCACCCGTCTCTGAACCACAAATTGCTCTATGCCATAGTCGTCTGAGTAGCCTCTCCCCCTCCATGCCCCCGTTTATCGCCACTGCCGTGCTCAAAACTATATATAATGCCTGGGCTACCACCAGAAGGTTCCGAAAAAGGGGCCGTGGGTTGTGTTTTCGGTTGTCAGAATGTAGGAGCCGATTGCCTGTCACACTATGTATGCTGCCCTGATGTTCTCCCCACCATTCGCTCTCAGCTCGCCGTGCCCGCTTCGTTCGGCCTTGATCCCATCGCCACCATCCTTCCCTGCTGCTGGGATGCCGCCAATGATATGCAAGTGAAGGCTGCAACGGTCAGCCTCGATGCCCTCTTCCATGCGTTCAATGCAGCGAGGTCCAATGCGAGGAGAGACCATGAGGCCGCCCGACTTCTGGTCCACGCCCGCCTCAAAGCGGGCGCCCGCAGGTCCTTCGCGATCAGGCAGTTGTTGGACTGATGTGGGACCTTTCTCCCCCCTCCCTCTGCTGGTGGCGCTCCCCCTCCTCCCCCTCCTCCCCCTCCTCCTCCTCCTGCTCCTCTTCCTCCTCCTCCTCGCTCCTCCTTCTCCCCCTTCCCGGGACGCCTGCGGCCCCGCGGGAAACCCTGCAGCTGCCCCCCCAGACCTACGGCGTCTTGGTTTACTCGGCCCTTGTGCACGGGGCTCCACAGTCCCTGACTCAATCCATCGTGGATCGGCGGTATTCAGGATCGTTTAACCGATCCCCATCCCCATCCTCATCACCTTCGGGACCCCCATCAAATTACCACCCCAGTTGGGGATACACCCCTCGAAACCCGAAGGGAACGGCCCATATCCCCATCTAGAGGGGGTAAATCGGCCAGTGGAGGGTTTCTCCAAATTGCTTAGGCGACCCGTCCTCCTCCTCCTCCTCCTCCTCCTCCTTGTCCTCCTCCTGCTCCTCCTGCTCCTCCCTCCTCCTCCCTTTCCTCCTCCTCTTCCTCCTCCTCCTCCTCCTCCATTTCCTCCTTCCCCTCCCCCTTCCCCTCCCCCTCCTCCTCCTCCTCCTCCTCCCCCCCTCCTCCTCGAGTCGCCTACGGCCCCGGGGGAAACAGTGCAGATGCGCGGGGCTCCAGTGCCCCTGACCCAATCCACCGTGGATCGGCGGTGCGCCAGGGGGGGGCGTGAGAGGGGAGAGGCCTTTTTCACCATCAAGGGAGGAAAAGACACCCGGTCCCGACAATTGGCGTTTACTAAACGGCCGCGGGCGTTTACGAAACAGCTTTGCTTTGCTTGATTCCTTCAGTGGGCGCGTTTGCTTCACGACTTCGCGTGTCGGGGTGATTCATGTCGGGTCGGATTTTCTGCCCGCTGTACACGGCGGCGTTTTTTTTTCGGGTGTCTTCAGAGAGGGCTTCGGTGTTAAATTCCTTCTTTGGGTTCGTTTACTAAACGGCTTCGCGTGCCGGGGTGATTCACATCGGGGTGGATTTTCTGCCCTCTACACAAGGCGGTGGAGTTTCTGAGACGCCCTCCTGGCCTCCCGATGGGTTTGCGGTGTCTTCGGAAAAAGGCTCGGATATTTTTTTGAGAAGGCGCGGAGGCTTCGGAGAAGCCCCGCCGCCTTCTCAGAAGGCCTGCCACCTCTCATTTCCCTTGACCCTTGAGTCGGGCCTGTCCCTCTACATGGGGAACATTCAAAAATTGACAAAAACATGGTCGGCGGACGATTTTTGAAGTATGTTTGAGAATTTTGGAGCACTTTCGTTCTTTTTTTGTTTGTTATTCTTCTTTCTATTTTTCGTCCAGAATCCGCTTGTAGTGGGACACCACAGACCTAAGGCTTGCCCCCTCTCACTTTCCGCCTTGGGCTCCCCGCCAAGCGGAGAATTCGCGCCGGGTGTCGTATCCTGAGGGCCGCGCGGGGCCCACGAGAGGCCTTGTGAGGTTCAGTCAGAGTCAAGATCGCCGTCTCGGTTCGGAAGAGAGGACGCGAATAAGGACAACCACGCGAGCATACATCTTTCACGGTCCCCGCAAATTGTTTGGATCTGCGCTGGGCCCTTCCTCCTTGGCGCGCGGAGCACGCCAGGGGCGTCGCCAGAGGCGCTGCCCGGGGGTGGCCAGCGCCGATCCAAGAATCCGCGCGGAGCTCCGAAGGTTTTTTCAATAGGCTTACGCCATGCCGCCCACCCCAAAGTTTCGACAGACTGGTTGGAAAGGATGCAGGAGAGGAGAAGGCCGCGGAGGGGGAGGAGGGCGAGAATCAGGAAGGGGCCTCCTGGGGCGTCAGGGCATGCCGTGTTCTTGTTTTCCTGGATGTCGCAGTCGGGTCCCCCCTCCCCGGGCGGCGCAGCCCCCCGCCAGGTCGCCCCAGAGGTCTTTGGGCGCCCCGTCGGCGGCGGGGACGCAGGTGCTCGGCACAGGCCGCAGCCCGCAGAGAAGCCGCCGCCGCCGCCCGCCCGCCCGCCCGCCCGCCTCCCCCCCCCCCGAGATCCCGGCGTTGCAATCTGTGTCGCGCCGGGTGGTCTCCCCCGGCTTCGGGCCCCGAGGCCCTCGCAGATCGATGCGGCCCGAGAAGTGGCGCAGAGAGAGTGGGGTCCAGGGCTCAGGTCGGGATTCTTGCAGTGTTGCACTTGTGTCGCAGCGTCAGATCTGAGGGCGTGCAGATCCTCCACCCACGGTCCATGTCGATCCGATTGATTCGATTCGATACCGACTGCAGCCGGCCCGGTCTGTTTCGATTGCGATTTTCGCTCGATGCGATCCAGCCCAGCCTTTGCATGGGCGCCGTTGTGCGTCCTGACGCGGCCGATCCAACTCGATTCCGACTCCTTGCCGATGTGGCCCGACCCGATTTTTCTTCCGATCAGATCCGACTTGCATCCTTTTTGCATTCTGATTCTGCCACCGCCCCAGACCTCTGGCGTCATGACAAATCCTCGAGGGACTCTCTCTGCGTTTTGTTGGCCTCCAGGGGCATTCTGCGGGCCCAGGCATAAGTCGGGCGTGTCCCTCTACAGGGGTGAATTTCAAAATAATCAGAAATCGTCAAGTGGCGATGTTTTGAGTATTGTTTAGCATTTTGGAGCATGTTTTGACTATTTTGTATGTTTGGTCCAGAATCCGCCTGTAGGGGGACCTGCCCGACCTAAGGCTTAGGTCGGTGGACGCTGCCACGACCGCCGCCCGCCCGCTCCTGCTGGTCCTCCACGCCAGGCCTCTGGCGTCGTGGGAAGTCCACGTCCCGGTCGGTGGTCCCGGGACCTCGGCCTCTGAAACTTCTTCTTTGTCGGCGGCGAGGCAGCGAACTCTCCGCTCCAGCGTCACAGCTAGGTAGGGACACTAGCTAGCGAATTGGCCGGCGAGCAAAGAGCGGGGGGAGGGGTCCGACGGGGAAGGAGGGACGCTCAGGCGCCGAATACTGCGACGATGAGCAGCCGGGCGGGCGCAGCAGCCCGGCGCGCAGGGCCACAGCGCGGTGGGCGGCCGTCTCGAACCACGGTGGCAAGGGTGGGATCATCAGAAACACGATCCGCGACGAAATTCAGAGCGTGAATTACCTACCCCGCTTTCGCTTCCAGGGAAAACCAAGCCATACCACGCGCCTCCTCGTCAAGCGGCCTGACCAGTACAGGCTGCAATTTGGCATCGTTTGGTATCTCTTGGAAGCGAGGGTGGTCAAAAGCGAGGTAGGTTTGTTTTCCCCATAGAAATGCCAGTCCTGGGATGCGGTCGACTGATGCGGTCGGAATGTCGCACCGCATCGCCGATGCGGCTCCATGTGGAGCCCGATCATCTCCGCGCCGGCGTCGTCGATGCATCGCCGACACATTGCCGATCCATCGTCGAGTTGGGCCGAGTAATTATGAACGGCTGCCCTGGTAGCGTTGGTGCCTTCCCTGGCGTTGATCCACCCGTCCTCGCTTGCCTGCATAGCCCACCCCCACGCTTCCCTCGTTCACAGTTCGTTCCTGGCCTTAAGTCGAGCGTGTCCTTTTTACACGAGGAATATGTGAAAATAATCAAAAATACTTCGGGTACGATGTTCAATGTTTTTTTTTGTTTTTTTTTGTTTTGACAATGTCTGAATCTGTGTGGGCAATGTTTTATTTTCCCCCCAACTCCGACTGTAGGGGGACACGCCCGACCCAATCCTGGCCATTCCTCCTCTTCGCAATTACACCACATTCTGTAGCTAGGCAGCTAGGCCACCCACCACACTCGGCTGCACTCAACGTCTCCTCCGTCACCTCCCCCCGTTCCTCCCAGCTGGCATGTAAGTATCACCTCTGCACTCAGCTCCCTTCTCTCTTTCGCACTATATCTTGATATGTATGATACACCGCGTTCGCATCGACCGAGAGACTAAAAGGGGGGGCCCGACTTGAAGCTAATTGCCCCCTTTCCTCCTTCCCTTGCTAAAGCGGGGGATGGCTTCGGACCCCCCCCCTCCTCCCCTCTTCGTGGCTGGAAAGGGGCGGATGGCCTTCGACGCTGCCCCCCCCTCCCTGTTTTTTTTTTCGGAGCCGGAAGTCAGCCCAGGTTCCCCTTTGTAATGGGGGGTCTTCGCAAGCAGCCGAATTTTAAACGCCGGTGCGGTGGTATATACACCCGTGGAGTGGAGTTTTCCTTTTGTCAAAGTGGTTCATTCCCCGGTAATTGTTCTTAAAACATGAAGAAGTCTTACACGTCGAGGACAGGCATCGTTCAGGCCTCTTAGAGGCCTTTTGGCAACATCTGCGTGGATTTTAGAAGGTTTTTAAGTGTCGTTTGCGAGGTTTTGCGAGGCTTCTACAGTACAAGGTTTTGAGAAAGCCTCGTAGAGGCTTCAAAGCGGTTTTCAAGAGGTCTTTCAGAAACCTCTACAAAGACGTTTGGAGGTTTGTAGCAGGCTTTCAATGAGCTTTTCGCAAGGTTCTAAGAAGCCTCATCGAGGCTCCTAAGAGGCCTCTTTGGAGGCTTCTACGAAGCATGTAAGAAGCTTCTTATGAGGTTTTTTAGAGGCTTCCAAAAGGCCTGTCAGAAACCTCATTGAAGACTTCGAGGCTAGTAAAGAGCCTTCAAAGGCTTGTTTTCAGAGGACTCTTTAGACCTTAGAGGCCTCTTCGAGGCTTCTAAAGGTCCTCTTAGAGGCCGAAGCCTTTAAGAGGGTTGTAATCTAAGAAACATGTGCGAGGCCTCTAGGAGGTCCCTAAGATGCCTCTGGTATGCTGTGATTTCTACCAGACATACGCCTCAAAGTAGCATCGATGCAACTACTGCTGCTGCTGCTACTACTACTACTAGTTCCACTATTAGTGCTACTCGTAGTACACTACTACTATGATTACTCCTACTCCTATTACCATTATTATTACTACTACTACTATAACTACTTATATGTTTACTTCTATTACTATTACTTCCGCGTCTAAAACTATCATCATTACCGTTACTAGTATTACCACGAACGGTTTTACATCATATCGTTGCTGCTAATAAGGTTACGGTTGCTTTTGCTACCACTTCTCCTAGAACTAGTCCTAGTAGTAGTCGTAGTCGTACTAGTACGGCTACCACTACTGTTATTTTTCTTTCTACGACTACGACTTCTACGATTACGACTACCACCACCCATACTACTAGTACTACTGTTACTACTACTACTACTACTACTACTACTACTACTACTGCTGCTGCTGCTGCTACTACTACGACTACTATTCTACTACTACTACTACTACTACTACTACTACTACTACTACTACTATTACTACTACTACTACTACGACTACGACTACGGCGACTCCTTTTCCTCCTCCTCCTACTACTACTACTACTACTACGACCACTTGTACAACGATATTTATCGCTGCTGCGCTTACTACCACATCCGAATATTCATAGTCTCATTGCCACGATTGCTGCTGTTATGAATAATTTTATTGTGGCCTCTACTATTGCTGGTATTCGTACTCGTACTCGCATTAGTACAAGCATTAGTTCTACTACTATCACTAGTCGTATAACTACCAGTATTACGATTACTACTACGACTACTACTACTACTACTACTACCACTACTATGACTACTACTACTACTACTACTACTACTACGACTACTACTACTACTACGACTACGACTACGACGACGACTATTACTACTACTACCACTACTACTACCACTACCACTACTACTACTACTACTACTACTACTACTACTACTACTACTACTACTACTACTTCTACTACTACTACTACTACTACTACTACTACGACTACTACTACTACTACTACTACTACTACTACGAGTATAGCTACTACTACTACTATTGCTACCACCACCACTACTCCTACTACCACGACTACTACGACTACGACTACGACTACGACTACTACTACTACTACTACTACTACTACTACTACTACTTCTACTAACAACAACAACACAACTAATACTTTACTACCACTGCTGCTACTACTACTACTACTACTGTGCTTCCCGGCAGTTGGGTGTTTCCCCCGTCATTTGTCCTGGATCTTGTGTGGTTTCTTGAACGGTAATGATCTTGTTTCTCGGCTCTTGCATGGACGACACACAACTACTTTTAATACGAGCCAGGTCTTCCGGCCACTGCTCATTTCCTTGGTCGGCGGGGGAAAACCCCACTTAACCAGTGTTTGAATTATCGAACTAGGGAACAGAGAGCTGCCCTTCGGAAGCTACCCCCCTCCCCCGTTTTCGTGGCTGGAAAGGGGGAGGGGCTTCGAAACTACTCCCCCCTCCCTCCCTTCTTCGGAGCCCGAGGTCAGCTCGGGCTTCCCTTTGAAGGGGGGGGGGGGCTTCGGAAACTACCACCCCCCTCCCCCTCTCTGTTTCCAAAGGGGGGGGGGGCTTGAAACGCCTCCCCTTACCCCCCTTCGGGGGGGAAGGGGCGGAGGGGGGGGGAGGGGAATTGCAACGCAATGTATTACATTTCATTGGTTTGACATCGTTTCGATTGCAACCGATTGGATTGCAATCGGCTAGATCGCCATCGATTCGATGGCAATCGGCTGGAATGCAGGGGAGGGGCAGGAGGGAGGGGAGGGATGGATGGGGAGAGAGGGAATTGAGGGAAGGGTTGGGAGAAAGAGGCGGGAGGGGATGGAGGGGAGGGGCGGGGGGAGGGAAGGGGGCTTGGCCACTCACATTCTCCTCCTGTAGAAAATGGGGGGAGGAGGCAGAGGAGGGGGGCAGGGTTAGGCTTTAGGGTGTACGTTTAGGGTTCGGGTTCGGGTTCGGGCTAGGGTAGGTTCGGATTACGGTTTTACGGTTTAGGGTTTAGGGTCCACGAGCCCAACTTCGCAGCCTGTTGGACGTGTCCCACCCACCCATGACCCAAGACATCTTGATCTCAAAGCGACGACGATCTTGTTTCCACACCGTGTCGCTGGCGCTGGG